GTGGGGGGACTTTTTAAGATGGCTTCTGTCAGGCGTAGTGAATTGGGACTCTGCTATTGTCTTGTGGTGGTGTTAGTTTTGAAAGTATTTCTAGTTGAAAATGACCTGTCTGCGTTCAGATGTGGATGGAGCATTGGCTTATTCAAATGTTTCCTATACGCCAATTTATAGTTCCAACTTTGGGATTGGTCGGCTTGGCTCAGCGGTTAGCTCATTTGCTGTGGGGTCTGAGGTCGCGGATTCGAATCAGCCTCTCTACATACAAAAAAATAATGGTAAGGCTGCCTATTATATTCCCTTAGCCAGCACCCCCACCAGACAGGGACTCGAATTGGGTTGGCCTTTACTTATGGAAGTCTGATGATGTTCTTAGGATCCTGTTTTTTTAATAAAAAAAAAAATCTTGCTTACAACATTTGTATGGATAGTTTCCTTCTATGTTTACTAGAATATCAGTTCTTTGTCCCTGAATCGTAACTGATGAATATCTCAGTATTATCTGTTCACCTGCTATCTACAAAACTCACTTTGTGTATTTTATTGTATCACAGGCTTTGATAAAATGATTTCTGATGATAAACTGTACTTCCGATAGAGAACCATTTCCATATCGAATTCTTATTCTCATGTTCATATTTGAGGCTGAATTTATTAGCCAAGATCCATTTTCTGTTTTTCTTTTTTCAATTCTATGGTTCATGTGCATTAGGCTGCATTAAAAGAGTCTAGAACAACATATGTTACTCATTCTGTAGCAAACTTTCTGGTAAATCACTAAGAGCATATCACAATCTCAAATTGCGTTGATTCTGTTCTTCTATCTAGAGAGAAGGTATCGTATCGTCCCTATTTGCATGGCCGTTCAGGCTTGTGTAGACCCAGTATCTCTGGTCATATGTGTTTTCACTATGCAGGAAACACCTGAATTTGTATCCTTGTATAACCTATACTTTCTGTGTAAATGGAATTTTGCAGGCTATGCACTTCCAAAGTTTGTCCAACTCACAGTAATTTCATATTATGCATCTTCAAGTGCTTCACATTAATTTCCCTTCTCATCTGCCATATCGAAGAAGCCCACATGGCTCATACTCAGAAAGGACAACAAAAATGAAGTCATACAGGTCCACATAAACAAGAAACCATACCCCTGTTCTGTCTGAGAATTATAATTGTCGCTGCTACTGATTCTCCGGCTTGTAGATGGTGAAGACTTTGGGGTTTTTTTTTTCTATAACAGTGCTTTGATTTGGTCTTGGAACCTCGGATGTCATATTTTTTTAAGAACTACGTCTATATCAATGTTAAGTCTGCCCACATCAGATATAGGAAATATCTTGTATCTTTAGCTTCAGTTTTCTATGATCGGTTGCCCTGAAAACTGTTTCTTTTCTATGTACACGCCTAATTCTGTAGCTGTTTATACCAAGTCATGAAAGAGTTTCTCCAAAGTATCTCCATGCCCAACGGAAAAACATTCATGAAACTATTTCTCCTGAAGCAGAGCAATCAAGCTTGTCGGTGGCTATAACCAGGTGATAGTTTTGGTCCTGAGCTACAGAAAAATAGGATGCAAGGAGATATACAAAAATGGGAACAGAAGGAAAACAGGTTGGTGTGATTTTTCTGTAGTTCACTTAACTCTCTTCACCAACCGTCAATTTAGTGCTGTGGGATATGTTGTTTTGCCTGGTTATAGAAAGCTCTCATGTTGTGAGAATCAGAATGGAGTTTAAGGGAGTTGAGATGTGTACTGTTTGAACTATCGTCCTCATTTTTGTGACTTTCCTCGGAGGGGGTGTGGGCCGGTGTTCCTTAAATTCCACAAGTCCTTTGCACATCTAATTAAGAGAGAGGAAGTGGTCCTAAGTTTTTTTTTTTTTGAATATAATGTTGTGTTGCTCTTCACACGTCTTTATTGTGTGCCTCTTTTATCATGTTGTTCATCACATGCCTTCTCCATTGCATTAACTCGTGGGGTCCTTTCTAGCTGCTACTGATGTTAACCCTTTGACAGCATTCACAGAGTATCCTTAAATTTTCATAAAGTGGTAAAAAAAATGGAAAAGCATGTTGTTTTCTCTGGTTTATCCCCTTGCAGTCGGTTGCGGAGAACAGTATCCGGAGGACAGGTTCGTCTTTTTTTCTCGTGTTTTTTTTTTCTAAATTGTATGGTTACTCCTTGTGAAACATCCTTATTGCAAAAGTTAGTTCAGAGCTCTCCTTAGATTGTAGTGAATAACCTTATCTCTTCGCCTTTGATTGACAGGCTGAGTAAGCTCGTACTGGTCTGGTCCTCTCCCATAAAACAGATAGCAACCACAACTAATATTTCAAGGTCAGGAAAGTCATGACGTCGCTTTCTGTAGCCCGTAGTTAAGTTTTTTCATTTGGGGAGTTCTATTTTAGCCTCTATGATCTGTGGCATAAGACGGGGAAATTCTTCGTGCAAACGTTAGTTTAGATGTTAGCTGTCATGCTACAAATGTTGGAAAGCATAGTTAGAGAATTGAGTACAAGGAAAGAGTTTCTTCTATTTAGTTACACGCGATGTTGCATCTACCAATTGCTCGCTCGTGCAGGAGTGTCCAATGCATCGTTTTCGAGGATATGCCTATTGTTTCTTTTCCCGAGGGAGACTTGTTGGGGTCGGATTAGCTGTCTTTTTTAACCGGAGTAACAGTTAAGCCATTTCACAGTGGATGAGCTTTAAGTTATAGCCGTCGGGTAACATCACTGAGTTGTTGCTACTTGCTCAATAATGGTGGAGGGTTGTGCATATGATCCATATGTCTATGATTGAAGTATTTCCAAAAATGGAATCCTTTTTGCCTATGCAAAAGGTTTTCTCTAGTTACGATTTCAGCCTTAACCAACTTTTTAATGTTTGATTAGTGTAACACATCAAAGATTATATATGTTAGGTACGGGGATTTGTTTTCCCCGAGCTGCTGAAACCATTTCGGGTCTATTCTATAGCATTGATCTTCTTGAATTCATATAAGCTTATTCTCAGTTCAAGATTTAACAGTTGTGGTTCCCTGCAGGGTATAATGGCTTCTGTCTCGAGACGGGTACTCATTGGCATTGGAGAGATGAGCAGATTTACGAGAGACGGGAATGTCCGGTTTCCCGGAGCACGAAAAGGGCTCAACACGTATCTTAGCTTTAAGATTCGCCATCTACTCCGAAAACGCAAGTTGATGGAACGTTTCAGACAAGATGAGAGAGCTCTTTCACAACACTTGATAGATAGATAGATAGATGGGCATGGACCACTATGAACACTCTCTAGCCTCTGTCTTGTTCGTTGTCTCCCCCCCCCCCCCCCGAGTTTTTTTTTTTAACCCAAGACAAAGGGATATACAGATACAAAAGCCCGTATTTTTTTGGAACACGGAGATGATGTTCTTGTCTAAAACGTCTGAGGATGTTTCTGATGCTAATTGTAATGTTAATTGTATAACTTAATGAATCCGTGAATGATCACAGAATTTTAGGACATTGGTCCCTTTGTCCACTGCAGCAACAGGACGTACGTGAGTTAATAAATACCCATTTCCTGTCAATAATGCCTCCTCATCAGAAGGATTAACTACTCAACCAACAAACAGAAGAAAGGAAAAAGAAAAAAAGAAATTCAGACTTGAACAGAAGAATTTCATGATTGTTATCCTCCTCCTCAGCTCTCACACGTGTGTATGTGTAAGAACGTGGTTTCATGAGTATCCATGTCTAGATCGATGAACACATGGTGGATTTAAAAATAAAATAAAAATAAACACCTTTCAAGATTCAAGATTCAAGATTCAAGATTCAAGATTCAAGATTCAAGAGCCTGAATTCTCACTCCTCATCACCGTCCCGGAATTACACACAACACAGTCCTGTCTCGTGTCTGTGTGTGTGTAATCTATACTGGATCTCTCTTAAAAGAATCGTTTGGCCTCGAGTAGATGAAACCCTCTTCGTGATATATATATATATATATATATCTTTTGTCGATATAGTTCTCTATTTCATGATTTTGATTCTCGAACGTACGCTAAAGATGGAGATCGAGACTCACATGATCTTGCACGTTCCCCTTCAATCCGTACCAATACGATGTCCGGTTCTGCGGGGGAGGAGCCGCCGCGTTCTCGTCGTGATCAGCGGCCAGCAACGGCAGCGGCGAGTGATTAGAGGACGCGCCAGGAGCGCCAAACGCGGTCGTAGCGGTGTAAACGCCGTGAACCGCGTTTGAGGCCTGCGGTACGGCCTGCGGTACTCGCCAAAGCCCCAACGGACTCCCGTTGATGGTCGTTGTCGGAGAAGGAGGAGTAGAACCACCGCGAGGGTAGAAGGACGACGGCGTTTGACCACCGTAGAACCTTACCGCAGGTGAAACGCCTCCGCCGCCGCCGAGGTAGTTGCGGTGGTGGTTGTAGCTGTAGCTGCTGTGGTGGAAGCCGTATGTTGTTTTCTCTGGGTTATCCCCTTGCCGTCGGAGGTTGCTCCGCGTTTGGCGTGTTGGCGTTCGCGTTTGTGAGCGTTTTGGTGACCGCCTAGGGCTTGAGATGTCGGGAAGTTCCTGAAGCAGTAGTGACACTCGAATTTCCTGCTGCTGCTGCTGCTGCCGCCATTGTTGTTGTTGCTGCTGCTGCTGTTGTTGTCTTTGTCGTGATTCTCTTCGTTCTTCTTGTTCTTGATGTTGTTGTTTGTGTTGTTGTCGGATGAATCGGAATCTTCTTGGACGTCTCCGGCCCCAAAGTCTTTGCCGAAGAGACGAATGGCGGCTTTTTCTTTGGCCGGAGCTGGGCGGATGAATGGAAGCTGTGAGAAGGATTCCACGTTCACTTTCATGAAGTCATGAGTCTCTCTTCGACCGCTTGTTTCGTCCATAGAGAGAGAGAGAGAGAGAGAGAGAGAGAGAGAGAGAGAGAGAGAGGGTTAAGGTGTGAGTGAGTTTTAGACGAATGGGGTTGACTGGTTCAGACAGACACTCTACCTCTTATATAAACCGATCTATGAAACCATATATATCGTTTTTTTTTTTTGCAATTATTTTAAAATATTTTTGTCAACCAAAAGGGCTGACGTGTATGTATGTACATATGTACATATGTATGGCCGATATATAGATTTGCCACGAATTTGAGATGAGATATAACAACATGGATGATGTTAATTGAGGACTCAAAAAAACATTTGAGCCTAAGCATATTTCGTGATCCATTAATCATTTCTTTTGTAGATAGAAATCGCCACCAAACCTCTCTCGGTCACATTAATTTAAGTTGTTATCATATGATGACATTTTTTTCCGGGATAATTTATGATTAATTTACATTGGAAGAATAATGATACAAGTTAATTATATGATTTTTGTAAGAGTTGATAATATGTTGGTTAAAATTATGGGTATGGGGTCATGCATATGGTAGGTGAATTCCACATATATAAAAGTATGATTCTATGGATTAATTTGTTTATATGTCAATAAAGAAATAAATAATTATATGTTCTCCATCTTTCTCCATCAAGCCTCTCTTGTTCCCTTTTCCTCATGTTTCCTCAATTTTCTCAATAGTTGCTCCTGCAATGTTTGAAACCAATACATAATAATTTCCCGGGTTTTGGCAGAAAATATATCAATATATATATACGTATATGGGGAAGTTATATACATATGTATAGGCCATATATACACACACACACACACTATTGACATTGTATTAAATGTGGGACATGGTGATTTATTTATGATGTACTAAAAGGAGTAAAATTTTTAGGTAAGGGATCATTACCAACGCGATGTTAGGTGTACTCTTTGATGACAAATTTGTTAATGTCTAATGTAAGTACGTCCGATCTTACTATGGAGAGAGAGAGAGAGAGAGAGAGAGAGAGAGAGAGAGAGAGAGAGAGAGAGAGAGAG